AAGGGAGCTTTAACAGACGGGAGCGTTACGTGCGGGTATATTACCCCGCATTACCACGGTAATTAACCCTTCACAGGCTACGACCCAGATCATCCGTGACAAGCACGGCATTGACGGTGACAAATCTAATATAGACACGGCCGCTAGTCGGGTGACGAAATACATATATATGTATGTGCGTGTATGTGTGTGTGTGTGTGTGTGTGTGCGTGCGTGCGTGCGTGCGTATATATAACAGCTGTTGCGCCCTTTAACGGCCAGGCATGATGAATTTCTCTGAATCTTAACTAATTCATTTTTAATGACATAGCTCACATCGTTTTTCAGTTGAATCTTTACCCCCTTATTGAAGTCTTTTACCTCGAAAGCATATCCCCGTCCAAGTATATCTCACGGGAAACATATCCCCACCTCGCACACGTGCTGGCTGCCTCCCCTCCTCCTCTCTAACGCTGACGCGTGGCTGTGTATTAATAAACAATCAGGCCCGACATCAGGCTCGACACGTTTCCCATTGATTATCGGTATGTGTCGCCACCGTGACCACTGATTAGTCGCGTGCAGGTGACGGAACCCGACGCACTGGTCCACTTGTCGTATTCGATCAATACGGAGTCTATTAGAGTAGTGGCGCGTGCCCGCATCCGGTACTGCTGCTGCTGCCGCTGCTGCTACGCTCTAACAATGATGCGACCTGACAGACGCGCATGCGAGCAGCGCGGGAGTGCGTGATTCGTGTTTTGCGTCGAATAGGAAAACCCGGGGGCCGCTAATAGCTGCCGATGACTTCATTATACACGCACCTCACCGCGCTAGCGTGCGTGTCCGCGCACACACAACACCTATCCATTGATCTGCACCGCTACCAGGGCGGAACTCACTATGCGGGCAAATAGAGACGCTTAATGAACCGACCAAACTGTCACGCACAGGTGTGAATCATTCATAGTCACCGCCTGTGTATCACACTGACCAGCCCATAGCGCACACACAGGAATCGATACTCTGTAACAAACTCACCTACGTACTTGCATAATGAAATAAATTACCACGAAAGCCATGGATGTTCTACTGACAGGTGATGCGAGGTTTATCTTGGGAGTATATAGTCTACACTCTACAGGATATAGTGTAACACGATACAAGGTTTAACCTGGCAGTGTATAGTCTACAGGCTATAGTTAACACGATACAAGGTTTATCCTGGCAAAATATCGTCTCTTCACCATGGATAGCACGCTGTAACGTTTACCAGGCCGTGTTGTTATTAGACAATAATAAGCGTGATACGATCAAGAGCTAATAATACCAAGGTATTACTAAGGTATTATTAGCTCTTGATACGATGTATAACCAGGCAGTGGATAGTCTACAAACTATATATAGCCAGCATAATCACATCTTTACCAGGCAGTAGCCAGGTTACAGAGTACAGACTATATTATATATATAAATATATACCCAGCGTCATACGAGGTTAAACAAGAGCCGTGAACAATTGATAGCCCATAGCTGTAGTGTGATGCAACGTTTATATTCATGAATGAAGGCGGTGCGCGTGTTTGACTACGGGGTTACGACGAATGTAGATCTGCAACTCCATGGATTAACGATCACTACTCCCACCCACGTGTCAACGAACAGCTGTAACAGTAGCACAACATCGGATAACATCATATATGCTGATCGCGCACCGTACTAAATCTTCTGCTCATTATAGGCCTGAATGGAAATATCCGTCCGTCAAACACCTGGGCGAAACCGCAGACATTTTGAAATTCCTATCACTCGGTCTAGAGTGTCCCGCGGGCGTTAAACCAACCCATAAATCCACACACATTAATAGCGACAAAGGCGCTAACCACCACCACTACCGGCAATCCCATAGAGATGACTCTGTTTGAACTTCAAAGAGATTACCCTCCTCCCCCCACCCCCACCCCCGCACCTATCTCACGAAAGCTACTTAAACACTCCAACGCTAAATTCCAAATTTGACAGCTCGTCGCCGCCATCATCGCCGCAGGGTGGCGCTCGCGCGAGTTGATTCGCGGAACTGCGCAGGTGTCAATATTCTCAAGTAGAGAGACGAATTGACCGGTCGGGCGGCAATGATTGATGGTGTATACACAGACACGCACGCACACGCGCGCGCATTCCCCGTCTTTCCCACGCCTCTGGATATCCGCGGTCGGGCGACAGCCGCTCCGCCGAGTAGAACTGCTAATAATAATGGATTTTCAATTGGTCGAGCGAGAACTCGTACCGAGCCTGAGAGCACCTCAAAGGCGGCTGGCGTTTCAGAGAAGGCGTGGTGTCGGCGGAGGCAACCCGCTTGACCTTCTTCTAACACCGAGCTTTCACTCGGCGGGTTTGTGATGTGGCACTTTCTAACGCTTTCGGGCGGCGTGCGGCGCTACAGCCGACAGCCGAAGACTTCTGCACTCTTGAAGTATTTCAGATACTGCTTGCTACTAATTGTATGTAGCGAGTGGATAATAACTTTGTATGCAAATAAACTCCTTTCTTTCTTTCTTTCTCTCTCTCTCTCTCTCTCTCTCTCTCTCTCTCTCTCTCTCTCTCTCTCGCTCTCGTTCTCCTCCACTCTATCTAAGATACACGTATACGCAAGGCATTCTCACATATAATGAAAACAATTATGTGCGATCGAAAAAAACTCGTACGGCATCCACTACATGATATCGATCTGGCAGGTACACGTGAATGTCTCAAGCACTAGGCGCTTCTACGCCGCCTTTCTATATCGACAACAGAGAGCAGCGTTACAAGAGAACACAGCGAGAGAGAGAGAGACGAGAACGAGACGACCCGAGAAAGCTGGAGAGGAGAGAGACGAGAGAAAGCAGAGACTGACGAGTAGAGAGAAGAGCGACAAGAACAGAGAGAGATGAGAGAGGATGGGACGGGCGGGGAGAAAGAGAGAGAGAGAGAGAGAGAGAGAGAGAGAGAGAGAGAGAGAGAGCCACGTTACAACAGTGTTGCGGAGAGGGAGGGAGGGAACCACGAGTTACCCTACACACGCGTCTGTATAACCGGTGTTTATCGTCGTCTGCTGTACATACGTGTGGGAACAACATTCGCGACGCTCGACTCTCCTGCCAGACACGGTTAACCTATCCTGACCCACTCCTTCGAGACAGTACGAAATTACTCTATACGATAATATTACAAGTCGGGCTCACTAGATTCGATATATCGCGATGGCAGAGCACTCAAGACAACGTTTATAAGCACTTAACAGTACATCGATCGTATCAAGAGCGTATAAAGAAGGAATATATAATCACCTTCTTTATACGCTCTTGATCGTATACTACTACTACTACTACTACTACTACTACTACTACTACTACTACGGAAAAAGGTGACTTACTTATCAACTAGGAACTCGCAGATGGATGACCCTCTCCTTTCCATTAAGTACGGACGCATTGAACAATCCCCTTGGTGCCATACATGTAGTCTGCCTCCAATGAGTTTCTTATAACCACCACTAGGCGCGTTGCGTTTCGCCTCACGGTCAACAACGTTGTCAATGTGAAACTCCCCAATACAAATACTTGCTGCGAATATCTTCGATACTACCGAATAAATCTCCGGAGTTGCCCTTATGCTAGCGAATGGTTTGGCTACGTTCGCTAGGGTTCCGCTATGTTCCTCGCCCAAGCTACAGCGACTGTACTTCAACACACTATAGGGCGAAGTTCGGGTAGCAGGAACTCTCCCCCGATCTCGAGACCGCGATCTTGTCTCTAGCCGGCAAGTCGTTTCTTCAAACCTTGCACGTATAGTGGAGCGCCTCCTTCACTCTCGGCACTTATCGCTGTGAGTCCAGTGCGTAAGGTTTCCCGCCTACTGGCTACTACAGGTCAGCTTCTGTGACGCTACACCACTACACGACTGTCGTGACCGCGACGTTTCACTACCACCACAGCGCGGCTCGTTGAAATCCCGACTCGAAACGCAAACAAACATATAAAGGTGATGACGTCCAAATAATCGCAGTGTTGATCTGAGAACAGGTCTCCCCCTCTCTCGCCGATTGCCAAGCCTTGCCGAAGGCTGCCACGATAACAGCACGAGGGCTTGAGTACTCCCTCTCACTTCTCCACACAGCTCGCTCCCTCGCTGACCACGGTGGATGAGCTTGCCAAGCACGGGGGACTCGCACTCCAAAACGATTTCTCACGGCAAATCTAGCAAGAGGCTATGATAGCCGGAGAGTCTTCGGCAGCCGCAGCGCGCCACTATCCGTTTGAAGTTAATCAATCGCCGGCTGAATCTGAGCACGTTGTATCACGCGCGATGCCCCTTGATACTGGTACTGATGCGGAGGCAGATCGTTAGGGCTTCAGGCATCCACAGCAGCATCCATCGACAAGCAACACCGACTCCTACTACGGTTATTATGATTGCTACAACTACTACTACTATACTAGCGTGTATCTCTGGTTGTGTGAGAAAGGTAAACGTTCGCTGGCGGCCAACTACGTTTTGCTTGACTTGCGCTTGTTTAGCCTCTAGGCAAGACTAATAGCCGTGTCACAGATACCAACGTCAGACAGAGGCGCGGCTGCGGTGTGCTGCACATAGGTGCGGGTATAATGAGCAAGCGGGAGACCTTGTGTATACACACCTCGGTTGCGCAAATATTTAGGTGTCCCGAGAATGCGCGCATCCAAGCAAACACCTCGCTGCCCGGACGATCGCACGTACGTGTCCCGCGCACGCCTTCACGCCGCCGACACCGCGCTACAGGTAGACCGCTACACCGCTAGTAGGAATGCGCTACACCGACATCCACCTGTCACACAGGTGTGCTGAGAAAACACTCGCCTACTTAGCAAGGCTCGGTTATCCGACGCGACTCACAGTACGCGCGTAGACATATCTCCCCCGCCGCTCGGGAGTGGGGAACAAGCCTTCCGCACGCACGCACGCACGCACGCACGTTAGAATTCACAGCGGGCTTTCACAGAAATGATCCGAATCCCAAAGACGCAGTGGTAATCAGTAGACGCTGCGATCCCCCGTCAGTCTGTCGCGCTGGCAGCTGCCCGAATAGACACGAGCCTGGAGTGCGGGTCAGCCGGCGCATGCGCGGGACGGACCGCTTCCATGTGCGGCCGCCACATAACGTCGTCGCAGTTAAAATCCCCGCCAGGCGCTTAATACGCCGCTAACGCTGCGGCACGCATGTCCGTAACCATATGGCAGGCTTCGTCCGACAGCGCGACTGATGTGACACGACGGCACACAGGAATAGAGGAGGACGAGGAAGAGGAGAAGGATGAGGAGAAGGATGAGGACGGGGAGGATGCGGTGAAGAAATAGGAGGAGCTGAGGAGGAGGACAAGAAGAAGAATAAGGGGGCGGCGGCGGTGATGTGGGGAAGAAGGGGAGAAGGGTGATCTTTTGATCTAATCAAGCGTCGACGTTGTCGTCATCGGCCGCACGTTATCGTCAGAGCTTGCTGAGTGATGGATGAATCACGCTGCCCCACGCGGGGAGGAGGCTGCTGATCAGATTCCTGCTCGCTGCTTCCGTGCGCACCTCAGCATAACAGCCAGCGCCAACAGGCGGTTAGTACAGCATTTAATGAAGTCAACTATGCTAGCAGGTAACCCATAGATGAGGATCGGCTTTATCCGTGCGTTGATCCCGTAGACAAGCAAGAGTCAACAACAGAAAAAACCGCGTTAATTAAAAACACCTATCGTCACCATCATCATCAACCTCTTCATCGCCGTTGTCATGACACCACGCGCGACGAATTTCCAGGATGTTTCCTACAGCGCTGTCTCGCACTCACTGTATACGCCCACAGACATCCCCGGTGTAACACAGGAGTTCATCCCTTTCCTCCCCTTACTACCTCTGATCGTTGCTGCTATGCACTGCTACTGCTGCTGCTGCTGCTGCTGTACGGGGTTCAGGCGGCGACGGTGGACGATGAGTGAGCTCGCAGCAGCGTGTACATATTGCCAGCACATGCTTCTCCGCTCCACGGCAGCGCTGCTAACTCGCCGCACATGCATGCCCGCGCCGCCGCAGTACAGCCGCGATGCAGCGCAGACGCGCTAACCTCCCGCCGACCTAGTCTTCACCCACGCGTCGTCAGCGCCGTGATGAGTGCCGACGGGCGCGCGACGCCGGTTCCCATCTACAGCGGGATTGGAGCCGGGAGGCTGAGGAATCAGGATCGCGTATTGATCATTTACAGTTGCCTGGCAGATGCGGACGCTGAGTTTCGCAAGGTTTTGTTCCGTATCGCGAAATTACATCTACGGACTACGTCATCGCCATAGAAACCGGACGCTGAATTAATGTGTCGTAAGCAGTTCGGCGGCAAGGAAACACAACGGATCGTCGGGATCTGCTGGAAAACGATAATTAATGTAGCTATGTACTGGCAAAGAAGCGCGTATACAATATCTAGGTTCATTTCACCTCTAGTGTTTCTGGCGCAGAGTGATTACCTATGAACATTAACATAAACCTAGTATAGGTTCGTCACATACGATGTTTACATTATATGTACAACATTGTAAAAAAAAATATTACAGGCGGTATAAACTTATAAGCTGGTGAAGCTCACAACAGCAATACACAATTTAATTGCTATGCAAATAATTTATGTAGTATGGAGACTGTGACTATGAAGTAGTCAGTCAGTCTGAGCCTTTCAGTCCATAGTGGCGTAGATACGATCGGGTAAATTAAAATGATATCTTCATACATTATAAAAATCAGTAAAGAGGTTGCACTTTATGAATATTGGCACAATCCAGACCGGTTAAAATGCATCATTGTCTTGGTTGAAAATAGGGAGCAGGTGGTAAAATTATTTATTAATTTTTTGCCATGGTTGTTTTGCGTTCTGTTTTTTTTTGTTGGAATGAATAAGGCGTAAGGAAATATGTAACAAACACATTAGAAACGTAGTCGCATACATCTACTCGCACACATAGAACAATGGAACAATATATATATATTCCATTTCACGTTTTCAACGCCTACCCACAGCAGACTGATCATTCCACTTATAAATTGAAAAACAATAGAAATATATCGAATTGCATGCTCAAATCAACAAAACTTTGAAATGTTCATCTTAATTTGAAAAAATGGACGAGTGGGCTGCAATAAAAATACCAAAATTTTAATGATCGACTTAACAAGAGCTTATACAAATGCTCTATGCGAAAATCCGCGTCGGTTCCAATGACATTTCCAATGCAGATATGGGCTAATCACAAACCAAATTTCCCTCGCGTTGTGGGACAAAGGATTAGTGGAGTGACACTGCAAGACCACATATGCCGACAGATTGCACTACACCGAACGATTGGGTTAACTGAACACATTGTGTACTAACAACCAACAATGATGCGAGCTAATCCCACCTATATCGAGGTAATTAAGCGACCCTATATGCCGATTATTAGCTGTACTGTATACGTGCACGCGACAGAAGTGTAATTACTGCCATTTCAACCCCACGATATCCGTATTGATGGGGATGATAAATCTTCTAGATACTCCCTGGTCGAGTATTAGTCGCTGTGATATGATCAAGACACAACAAGCCATAACAACAGCTTCGTTGGATGTCAGTGAGAACTTCCTTACATATTATGTTCTGCGGGACAACGTTGAACTTCGGTCACAATAAAGACTGGAGGCCGTAGCAACCCGGCCGCCTGACATCGCAACCTCAAACAGCCAAGTTATCGAACAATTTTTTATCCGACGTCCGCGAAAAATGTGAACGGCTGAATTTCGCCACGTCTGACTCTCTAAACGTCTAAATCGATGAATATCTGTAAGAACGGGCTTATATCATAATGGTAAATCTATTGATTTGGATGGAAGTGTTGACTACCATAAATGCGTAGTGAAATATACCTTAACTCCATACATACTTTCACGCACGCACGCACGCACGCACGCACGAACGCACGCACGCACGCACGCACGCACGCACGCACGAACACACAAAATCTGCAACTTAACAAATGGTGCCAGAATTATTTCTCGATATGGAACAAAGTGACATGCCACCATGTACACGCTTGCGATATGTAACATAAGAAACTCGTACACTGTAGAGTAAATAATTCAACTACATGAACAGAGTTTCATGCTAGCATGCCCTTATTAGCCAGATTTGTCACATCATTTCCTGCTGACGCTGACTCAACGATGATCTTGTTTTTTCACTTACACACGCACGCACGCAGTCACACTACACCCACCAACAAACACGCACACGCACGCACGCACACACACATAAGAACGCATGCACGCACGCACACAACACACACACACATACAAGAACGAACGCACGCACGCACGCACGCACGCACGCACGCACGCACACAGAAGCGCGTTCCTTGAAAGGCACACTGATTGCATTCGATTTTTCTCGCAGATAGAATTACCGCGCTTAGACACTCTCAGCTGCGTGTAACACCTGCTCCTTTATGCAAGGCAAGAACTACGCATTAACAAGATATTCACCTCTACTAATTACCATGAATAATTAACACACGCGCATAACTTTAATCGTCGGTGGACATTAACGCATGGACATTGTGCACACAAGGCCTTACACGGGAGTGTGATGACTCAGACTATGATCATATTCACCATGACAATAGCAATACGAGTAATGTTCACAGATATGTAAGGGGTTTACCCTTTTTCTCTCTAATCTCTTTTAATTAAAACTGATACCTTCATATAACGAGATTTCTCTGACTAGACATTTTTAGGAGTGCACTCCTGCTGCTTTCCCCAACAATGAGTCAATGGAAACTTTTACCACTAGTAAAAAACGATGTTGAAAATTAGATTAATCAAACAAGGGTCTGATTTTATCAGCACAAAGGAAAGAGTTTGCAGTCGTCATGTTATTATCTTAATATTATATGTTAAATTTCATATCACATGTTAGTAAAGCTATGTTACTTGGGTTATTTACACAAATGTTGCTGCTTTTGAAGCTTCATTCAATATATATATATATATATATATATATATATATATATGATATATATCAGGGTTTCTTATACTTAAGAGGCACAGTGGCGCACCGCCGTTGTCAAATTTAACATCGCCGTTGTGAAAATGTTCCTGTATTTACTGATAAGTATATCCTGTATCGATATACCTATAAGTATATCAATAGTATTATACATCCTGTATTTGAATCCATCATGCGCGGTTTTTCCCCAAACTGGCCATTACCTCCTTTGTCTAATTTTCCCTCAGAAGAAACCCTGTATATATTATATATATATACCAATGAAACACGTATCATCAATCATAAAATCGATTTATGAACGGTTTTACACAGACCCATAATGAGCTATTATCCGAGCATTATGTGTAATCAGAGTAATTACTTCACTTTGTGATTATTGTTCTAAACAAAAATACAACACAACATAGTTTTCATATAAAGGTGTGTTTATTCGACTGGTATTTATTGCATTGTGCAGCATCTATCAATAATTTAGCAGTCATTTAGCACATTGCATTCATTCAAAGTATGATATACTGCAGCTACACCCCTATTTATTATATATGAATCTCAGTACAAAGAGAAATTCATGTCCACTGAAGCCATTAATAATGTGAGTAGCAAACAATACACTGCAGCAGGCAAGAACGACCCACTGAGGCACCTGCATGTGAATAAAAATGTTTTATCAAGACAAATGTTTAGCATACTATGCACTAATGGTATACAAATTTATACTCAGCATCATAGCATAGCATTGCATGTGACTAACCTAAATGTGTAAAATTAACATTTCTACACCAGATTTTATCATGTGCCTATGGGCAGCTTAGTTACATTGATCCCCCAATATAGGTTTCATTCTCGTAAAGTCGTAATACACGATTTGAAAGCATTAGGCTTTCCAAAGGTCAACGTGTGGTATTAGTTCAAAAACCTATTACCCCAATCCGGTTGCTTATTCACTGCACACATGTGTGTGCTAAAGTCACGTTTATAAGCTTGTCCACTAAAGAATTATTCAATCTTCAGTAATCCCAAATACACTGGTGTGTTAATGAAGGTTTCTGCTTCAGTGAAGCACAGCCTACATCTGTATTAATGAAGTGCAGACATCAATCTGCAGACTGCTAACCGTTTTCGCGAAATGACAACGTGACAAAAGAAAGCTGAGTCAGCACACATTTTATGCATTGCAAGATACTCTGCACAAAAGAAGTACATGTTTTTCCACAAAGATACTTTGTATGGTAATAATTAACAAAGCAACAGTCTGCAT